TTCCTGCATATCTTACCAGGTCGTCACTCCATCTAGTGGGGGGTCGCCCTACACTACGCTTACCGGTACGAGGCTGTCACTCGAGAACCTTTCTTCCCCATCGGTTATCGGTTCTTCAAGCTATATGGCCGTCCCATTGCCACTTCAGCGTACTAATCCGTTGGGCTATGTCGGTCACTCTGGTTTTACTGCGGATATCCTCATTTCTGAGTCTATCACACAGAGAAACTCCGAGCATAGCCATCTCCATAGCTCGCTGAGCGACCTTGAGCGTCCTCATACGGCCAGCAGTGAAGGACCACGTCTCAGATCCGTAAGTCATCACTGGCAACACGCACTGGTTGTAAAATCTAGTTTTTAGAGATTGAGGTATACCTGACGAGAAGATATGTCGTAATTTCCGGAACGCTACCCAGCCGAGTTGAATCCGTCGATTGACCTCTCGGTCGAAGTTGTACTTACCTAGTCGGACTATTTGTCCCAGGTAAACGTACTCGTCAACAACTTCGAGCATAGTGCTCCCAACAACTACCGGCATAGGTGTGACATGGACATTAAACATGATCTTTGTTTTGTCCATGATGATGCCTATCCGTTGGGAGGCACTATTGAGGTCATTGAGCATAGTGCTTAAGTCCTCCAGCGATTCTGCCATAAGGACTATATCGTCGGCAAATCGAAGGTGAGTGATGTACTCGCCATTGATGTTAATACCGTATCCTTTCCAGTCCAGTAGCTTGAAAACGTCTTCCAATGCAGCGGTGAAGAGTTTCGGGGATATAACGTCACCCTGTCTTACACCTCTCTGCAGTTGGATAGGTTTCGAGCTCTGGTTCTGTACTCGAATAGCCATCGTAGCCCCACGTACGAATACTTCAGCACTTCGATATACCGACAGTCAACTTGGCACCGCTGAAGGGACTGCAGCACCGCCCAAATTTTGACGGAATCAAAGGCTTTCTCATAGTCCACATATGCCAGGCAAAGTGGCAGATTGTACTCTTCGGTCTTCTGTACAATCTGCCGCAGGGTATGTATGTGGCCTATGGTACTGAAGCCTTTTCGGAAACCGACTTGTTCGGGAGGCTGGAAGTCTTCGAGTCTGCGTGCGAGACGATTCGTAATGACTCTCGAAAACAGTACGTAGATGCGGCTCAGAAGGGAAATCGGTCTGTAGTTCTTCAAGAGAGCGTTGTCGTCTTTCTTAAAGAACAAGACCACCGCTCTTCTGCTCCACGCCTCTGGAATAGTGCCACCATGGAGGACGGAGTTGAAGAGCTTCTGAAGAACTTCAAGTACCGGTGTTCCACCCGCTTTCAGAAGCTCCGCTGTTATTCCAACCTCGTCTGGGGCCCTGCCGTTTTTAAGGTGCTGGAGAGCCATTCTAATCTCGCTTAGACTGACGTCCGGGATATCATCGGAATAGTGTCGAATAAGACTTGCTCTTGGATCGTTACTCACACTTGCGTGTGGCTCCAACGATGATGTGTACAGCTGCCCATAGAACCTCTCAATCTCACTCAAAATCTCAGGTGTCCCGGAAACGATGCTGCCACACTTAGTCTTCAGCTTTAACAGTTGGCTCTTACTGGCAGACAGATATCTGGCAAAGACTTTGGAGCCCTGGTTCCACTTGATCGCTTCTTTAATACGAGCAGTATTAAAGTAGCGTAAGTCTTGCCGCATGCATTTGGAGATCTGTCGGTTCAGTTGCCTGTATGCTGTCAAATCTGTTGACGATTGCAGCCTCATCTCCCGTCTAACAACCATGAGATTAAGAGTGTGATCGGAGAGTTTTTGTGTTCTTCTGCGATGGGTCTTGCAGAACTTACCTCCGACCGCATGGACAGTTTCCACGAGCTTGTCATTCATATCGTCCACTGCATTGCAATCTTGTAGGCACTAAATGCGGTTACGTAACTCGAGCTGAAAGCTTTCGGGATTCTGGATTAGAGCACGAGGGGGACGGAGCGTTGACTTCGTTGGACGAGACCTCTCCAACTTAACGTTTAGGTTCAGTGTGCCTCTAACCGTTCGGTGATCGCTGCTAGTTTTCATCCTTGCGATCACTGAGACATCACTGAACAGATGGCGTCTGGTCGTCATAATGAAGTCAATCTCATTTTTTGTCGAACCGTCGGGGCTCGACCAGGTCCACTTCCTGTGGGGCCGCTTCTGGAAGAAAGAGTTCATCATAAAGAGTCCCTCTTTCTACATAAATTCGGCCAGCTGCTGGCCCCTTCGGTTCCGTTGCCCTATTCCAAATTTCCCTAACTTCAGTTCACCGCTTTTTCTTATGCCTAGTTTTGCGTTGAAGTCTCCCATCAACACCGTGTAGTGGGTTTTGGAGGAATGCATGGTTTTGGAAATATCCTCATACATTTCCTCCACCTCCTCATCGGGATGTGCCGAGGTTGGTGCGTAAACCTGTATGACCTTCAACGAATACCGTTTGGTGATTCTGAGTATCAGGTACGCGACCCTCGTCGACACACTCCCAATCTTTACAACGTTGTTGACGAGAGACTTGTGGACGATAAATCCGACACCTCCTTGGGACAGATGCTCGCCCTCCCGATTTTAGTCTCGAATGGAATTTCGCTCCCTCCCAGAATATGCGGGACAGCCTGAATACCCACGCTCATGAAGAGTAGGGTAGCTTGGGCGTGGACACTCAGCGAGGGATTCTCCGTCACCGGGAGTGCTAGAGTAGTATTCTATTAAATAGCTATAATAGTAGTATTCTATTTAATGGATCTATGGGAAATGTAATAAAAATATTATGATAAATTACTAAAATATTAATACTAAAATACTACATATTATTATCATTTTAAATAAAAATAATAATAATATATAGTATTATTATTACATAAAATATTATTATTATGTAGGGAACGTGTGGTAATGCGTGTTGTATGTAGTAGTGTAAGTTCAAATTGTTATGTGCTATTTTATTTAACTTTGATGCTCCTTATGAATAATCACCTGATCACCTGGGTATTTAACATATGGTAAATTTTCAATATGCAGTTATATATTATGCGATGTATGTATTAGATATTTAAGATATTCGCTTCTTACGACGACAACCATGGTTTCCGTGGGATGATATATTTTGTTACGCAGCCAACACTATAATTACAATTATATTATATACAATATGTAACGTAATTAACGCACACCCTCAGACACCCCAATTAGTATATTATGTTATAACCATAATATACATACACTGAATTTTTAGTTAAACATTTTTATGCACTGATTATTTATCAAATTAGTTTTGCTAATTCCGGAAGAATGTTGTGGTCACAGTACAAATCCACGAACGCAAATACTTTAACGTGCTTGAAATAAAGTTCATTTTTCTTTATTTTTATCGAATGACAGAATTAGTAACAATACAAATAAAACTGCACTCTAAAAGTCTTATTGCCTTAAGTTACGGTCCATTTCAGTTTGTTTTGACTGTACAGATTTAGTGTGACTGTAATTTACGTAGTTTTAATTATTTTTGGGATAAAAAATTACCTATATTAAAAATGATAGAAATCGATTCAGTAAACGATTCTGAACAAACTACTTTCTCAAAGTGCGTTAATTATGTTACATGTTTAATATGTTACAGGAAATGTATGAATTCTAGGAATTGTATACAACTCCTAGGAAATGTATAAAATATTGATTCAGAGATTATTTAATACGCACATATCATTCAAGACATTCCAATAACGTTTTAGGAAATGTATAAATCGAAAGCTATGTGTGAATAAAATAAATAAAACACGTTTTTAAATGAAGAATCAGAGTTTTTATTTGGTGGAGCGTCGAGCCTAAGGTTGCCGAAGTCTAATTCCCCGGTCGAACCTTAAACCTATTACGCGAGCTATTAATCTAAGTGGACTGTATCTACAAAATGTTTCTACACTTATATAAACGGCGACTATAGCATGCGGTACAATGCACTCGCTCTTCCCTAAAAACGAACTATTATTTGCCAAATCGATGAAAGGAATCCTGCTTGATTAGGAGAAACAAAATTGGAGCGGGTTAAAATACAATTATATCAAGCAGGCAATATTATTAGGAATATTGACTCACCGGGGTGTCTTCTATGCTGTTGGGCACTATAGCTGCGACTTCTGGAACTTCTTCTGGACAGCCACTCTGGAGAGAGGCGGTGCGCGACTATATCTCACACGAGGTGAGGCGGGTTTCCTGGAGCTCGACTGCTTCCAGGCTAAAGCGGTTCTACTAGCGGTGTGGTTCCAACAATGAGCGCAGCGGGAAGAGAGCTCTTTAGGAGACTATTATCCTAGGCGGTGTGGTTTCAACGACGAGCGCGGCGGGAAGAGAGCTCTTTAGGACACTATTATCCTAGGCGGTGTGGTTTCAACGACGAGCGCGGCGGGAAGAGAGCTCTTTAGGACACTATTATCCTAGGCGGCGTGGTTTCAACGACGAGCGCGGCGGGAAGAGAGCGCGCGTCGGTCGCGCGTGCCTTTTATATCTTCGGTTGCGATGATTACGTGATATTCTAGAATCATCTTCTTTCCCCTCCCACCCCACCATCCCGATGTGTCGATAGGAGGGTATGAATGATATCGTTTTGGAAAGGGATAACCGATTTGGCAGCCTACCGTCAAATTAAATAAATACGAATGGTTTTCCGCGCAACCATTATTAATGGTCTCATTGAGACAATCAAGTAACAATCATATGGTTTATAAATTATAATATCTTCATACTTCTTGATAATTTAGGAAATAGAGTTTTTATTTAGGCTTTAGTTTAGTTTAGTTAAGCTTAATAAATCAACTATTTATTAATTCTTAAGGTCCATTTATCACAAAACTTACTATATTTTCATATAAAGCTCAAAGTGTCATTTGGTAAGTTATTAGTCTGTTATTTAAGTAATTCTGCATCACAAGATTAAAGTAAAAATATTTCTATTTTAATACTAAATTTAAAAATAAACAAGGCCGTACATGTGGCTATTTATTTTTGCAGGGCAAGCTGGAATGGCACTTGGAAGTACACAATAGTTTATTTTTATAGTATATACATCTTGCTGTACTACAGTTCTTCTTGCAAAGGCACTTTTTAAACCCTTGGCCAATTCCAATAGATTGTAGATTTGAAACTGAACGTAGTGCAGTTTTCTTACTTGGTACATTCTTAACATCAAGAAGAACTCTTGGGCAAACATTAATCTGAGATCTTGAATACAATTGTTTTATGATTCTGTTCTTTGTACCAATTTGATAGAGCTCATCATCAGTTTTAGCCAAGACTACGCCTATAATATTTCGGGAATCACCACATTCTCTATCAACCTCCGGTACTACAATTCGTACAGAAGTGCTAACAGGTATTGGAGGAAACTTCTTTTCACTCGATTTCATCATTTTTTCGGCCTGTTGTAAGTTTATCTTAACACTTTGACGATTTTCTAGTGTTTTTAAATTCTTTGAACACAATGGGCACAGAACTTCAGAACCAAATCCTTCATCGGGTGATTCTTCAGCAGCAGCCCAAATTGAGTGGATTGCACATCCGCATTCTCTGCCTATATGAGCTCCTTTAGTTTCTTGTGAACAGACGCTACATTGATTTTGAAGCACGTAAGGTGGAGTTTGTGGTTTTGTTTCGCTTTGATCTGAATCGTCGTTAAAAACTTGGCTTGGCTCCGTGTTCTCCTTAGAGAGCTCACTTGCAGAGACTTTTGGATCCTCTTCACTCTTGGTAACTTCTTGTATGATTTTTCTAAATCTTCTTCAGTCTCAACGTTTTGCGTGAAATCATTGGGTAACTGTAGACCTACTTTTACTTTACACACAAAAAGTGCCTCATAAGGTGATTGCTTAATACCAGCATGAAAAGCTCTGTTTTTCATAAGTTGTACAAACCTTAAACCCTCGCTCCAATACGAATTATCATTGTCTTGCATGCAGGTGGTCAACGTATTTTCAATATCTTGATATGCCCTTTCTACACTGCCCTGGCTTTGCAAATGCCTGGGTTTACCATGAATAATTTTTAAAGCAGGCCAATATGTTTTTAAGTTCTCAATTATATTGGAAAATTCTCTGCGTTGTCAGACTGAAGAATTGCACCAAGTAGATTAAATATGTCCAATAAAGTGTAGGCAACTTCCTCAGCTCGTTTCAATTTGAGTGGTCGTAAAACAACATATTTTGTTAAGTGATTTTGATAAACAAGTATGAATTTGTTATCACCGTCGGGCTGGGACTGATAATCTATCAGATCCACTTGGCATCTAGAGTTAAACACTGACGATATAATAGGCTTAATAATAATGCCCTTTTTTATGCCTTTTGATTTTGTTGACACGGTTCACAAAGTTCAAGATAGGTTTCTATATCCTTACGTGTTATGCTTTTGTAGTGAGCCCATACCTCTTTCATCATACGATCCCGTCCACCGTGACCAATTCGTATATGTGCCTCGTGTAATATGTCGTATAACTCACTATCACCTGCATAGTGAATAATGTTGCTTGTAGTTTCTTTAACAGGAAAAATATGCTTACTTTTCTGGTCAATGGTAAGCACGTAATAAACAATAGTCGCGAGAAGACTTTCTTGCTGTTGTTTTAGCTCTGTAACGTTCGTCTTCAATATAAGCGGTATTATTAGCACTTGTTAACATTCTTGATGATACTAAAGCACTATAAAATCGCTCTTTCATAAGCGCGATACGTGACTCGGACGCCATTTTGAACAACAACGACGTACAAACGCACTGAATGTTTAAGCGGCACTAGCTAGCTAGCACTAGCACAGACTACTAAGAGGATACTACGCATGGCACTAGCGAGGTCGCATGATCGGTTGATGCAATATCCTCCCCTCGCTCCCCTCGCACCGCATGTCCACGCGTATTCATTGAAATCTTAAATATATTACATTTCCGGGTGATTTTAGGAATTATATACAATTCCTAGCAATTGTATAGTAATAGTAAATACATTACAAACGCTCAGGCTTTAATACCCTATTTTCAAGTAAAGATGCATTTAACCTTTGTCATTCTTGTTCTATAAAAATATCGGATATAGCTTAAGGGTTAATTATACCTATAATTCTATTCTTTCTATATTATGTTATGTTTGTCAATTACACAATGCTGTTAAATACATATCTAACATAATAATAATAATAATTAAATAATGCCAAAATAATTAAGGCAAAAATAATACCGTACAAATTAAGGAAAACACATGAAACAGGGGGTAAGTGCCTAGATTAAAAATACTTTTGGTTTACTTTATGAATGAAAAATAAATATTTTTCAGTAGAAAGTCAACACCTGATGAGATTCTTTTTCCCTGCTATTGTTGTTAAAAAGTCGCTTATTTATGTAGACAATATCATGTAATGTTGGGAGGTTCGAGGAATAAATTAAACGTCTGGCGGTCGTGAATGTAGGTTTATTACTAACTCTAAATGTCTATTAGGCTATCATATATATAGCTACATGAGCATACACTAAACACACACTACACGCCCATCGGCAAAAAAGAAAAAAAATTGAATTACAATTTTTTTTTCAATAAAACAAAACTTGGTGTAAGATTCAAAAAATTATTAATTATTTAAAATATTAAAATTCCTATCCTATATCAAACTTATAACATAATAAAATAAAATAAAATATCGTAAACACTGTAATTTGAAAAAAAAAATAACTTTCTATCTCTTTATTTAAATTTATTAAACTGTCATCAAATTTAAGTCTAATCTAAGTTTTTGTTTTAAATTGCTTTTAGGTTGCCTATCATAACTGCATAACATTTAAAATTTTCATACATAACTATTAATTCACTAGACACGAAAATACAGTTAAAAAAAAATAAAGTTATCAAAATTATTATAAGGCGTATATAAGGTTGTTTACAATATTATTATTTTCTTAAACTTAAACTATATTTTTAAATTTAAACCTTAAGATACTTTAAAGGTAAAAAAACCAATTCCATTAAAATAGTAAGTATCCTTATTTTTAAGTAGATAAACTTCAACATACTTATTTAAATCACACTGTAGTGTGAGTGTATAAACATTACTAGCACTATGCTTACATAAGGGCCCTACTAAATCTAAATAAACTATATCAAAGCGGAATATCCCGTATCGGTTATAACTTATAACCATTGGTTCCTTTATATATTTATTTAAGTGTTTATATATATAGCAAACACTTGTCGCATCGATTTACATAATTAGGTAACGTTATTAATTATGTAGTACTAGTTATATATTCTCTAACTCCGGTCAAAAAAATCTTTTCTTTGTATTGTTTATCATTCGCTTATAGGTACGCGACCGTTAGTTGGCGAAATATGATAGTCGGTTAATATTACATGTTTTGTTTCACGGCGGTTCTAGTGCAACATAATCATAATAATTAATCATAACAACAGGGATCAAATACAACTTACAATCTCAGCCGCGTAAGCGGTTTGTGACACCTTTGTTTTAATTTCTAAGTATCGCACGTTTAATCAAACATAGAAATAACTCAAAAATCATGTTTTTTGGCTACGGCTGTTTAAAGTTTTGCACTTACGCAGGTCGAAGTTTGATGATCTGTAAAAAAAAATTTCAAAGTATTTTATGTATTCGAATTGATTTTATTGAAAATTTAGTTCATTAAGATTTGCTGGCATATGCGAAAAATAACAATTTACTGATGATTGACTTATAAATAGTTGATAGAAAAAAAAGTTCCGACTTAATGCACTTTATGATTAAAGGAAATTATGTGATTCTTAGAACAAGTTCATCATAATACATAATAATCCTGTTTATCTATAAAAAATAAATAAATCATATGGGCTTATTTGATTATATTACATTGTTTTATTAATGAAGTTGGATTATTATTGTAGGAATACCAACTATTTCCTTTTTATTTAAAATATCGAGAAAATTGTTGTAAATATTTTAAAAATAAAAAAGCTTAAACATAATTTATTATCCTTTTATTTATTTAAAAATAAACCTCCAAAAATAATAAAAACTTCAAAACAAATGGATAAAAAACGATTAACTTATTCTTAATCTTGACACTCTCAAATCAGTCTTATAATTGTTAAGTAATTAAAATAACTTTGGAATCAACCTTAATCAAAGTCAGAAAATGTTTACATAAAAAATAACTTTTATAAAGGGTTTAATAGTTTATACCCATTTAAAATAAACAACAAAAACGTATTAACATATCAGGTTCTCTATTACCTTCCTTTTAAACTTGGTACAAAAAGGTAATTATTTTTTAACAAAATCTAAAAATTAAACTTATAAAAACTGAAAAAAAAAACAAGTAATTAGAAACACAGAAAGGAGATCCATTAAGTTCAATTCATTATTGGATTATAGAAGTTGGCATAGAAAGGAGGAATTAATCCTTTATTAATAAGCTCTGCCAAGTCCTTTTTTTTGTTTGCACTTATATCTTGTCTTTGGTCGTAAGCTTTTTGAAGAGTAATTTCTTGGATATTCTTCATCTTTTTTCTTTTATTTCTTACATCAATTTCTTGGAAGCAATCATCTTTATAAGAGTTTTTGTAAAAAATACTAAACGGTTTCTCCTTTTCATCATCAATACTTTTATATCGTTCCAATTAACTGAAACTCCATCCACATTTGTATTATAATTATAACCCCATTCCTCCTGCAAAAGTTTTAGATCCAGGAAGGCTTCAAAAGTTAGTTCATGGACGTTTATGGCTGGTTTACTTTTCTTAGCATTTTTTATCTCATATATTGATCTGGGGTGTAAATTGGTCCTGATTTCGAATTTTTCTTTATTTCCTTTTCAATCAAAGAATGAACGCTGTCAGCTTCGTTATGGGTGTGCCCACGAATAAAAAATTTGTGTGTTATGCTTCTTATATTTAACGTTTTCACAGCATATAGGTACAAAGTTGCTATATACTTATTTTTATTTTGTCCACAGCAATTGTCTGAGTAGAATGTTATGCTTTTCTCTTCAGTGCTTTCTTGAATGAATAATCTTTCAAGGTATTTCCATACACAGCTTCCTAACTCATTTGCTCCACGTTTAGCTTCTGCTTCCGTCCAAAAATAGCAGTGCACTTTATCATATGCTGTTTTTGAATTTAATTCAGTCAATTCAGTTATGGTAAGATTGTAACTGTTAAGTTTCGATTTATGGTAGAATGAGGAGGTGTCACCTCTAGGACATTGGAGTACTGCCTCTAAATCGTAAATTGCTACTATATTATTTTTAGTCACTTTTATGCGGTCTTCTTGTTTTTCAGTTCTACTTAAAGTATTTTCTTCTATATGTTTATTATATTTCTCTTCTAGTTCTTTTGCTTTCTCTTTGCTACTATTATTATATGCTAAACATAAATCACATTGATCTCCTTTTTTTGGTTGGAAAAAGGACAAATTAAATTCTGTAGTAAATATCTTGTAATATGCTATATAATTTCCTATCTCCTTATTATTTTCTTTCTGCTCTACTACAAAATCGTTATACAAATCTTTTATATTTTTTCCTCCGTCTATATATTCTTTAGAAGTACTAGGTCTGAGGTAATGCGATTCGATTTTAGGAATAGACTGAATATGTTTCCTGATGTCGTCGACTAGTTTTGGATCAAGAGTTTTGTGACTGTTGTGTTTTCCTCTTAAGTCTTCAAGCATGAAACCACCGCACTGACCTTATTTTGTATTGTAAAAATCATGCGATCCGAAATATCTAATGTTGCTTTAAAAAAAGTTTTACATACTCTTATTTTGTTAGAATTAACGCAAAAATAACAAGCTTTATTAGGACGCCTTGGGTTTTTAGCATTTGTGTACTTATATTTTGGCACAATATCAACCATACAACCATTAATATAATTTCTTTGTTTGGCCACATCCCCTAAGTCCCAAAATTCTTTGAATATGTCATATCTTTGATTATTTGATATATTTTCTACACACTTTAATTTACACTTGTCTGTGCATGGAATTTTAAGACAGCGACTGGGAACAACTTTATGTGACCTTGTAGTAACATACGATTCACCAGTATTTCGTAGTTTTTTAGCTTTATTTTGTTTCCACTTCGCAGGATTTCTAGTTCGCCTTCGGCCTCTTTTATTAGCCATCTTTTTTTTGAGTAGAACCATTCAAATCCGAAGAACTGGTATCACTGTCACTGTTGATAGAAGTAGTAGGAAAAAGGTAATTGGAGTTCCTTTTATGATTTTTTTCTGTCTCATATTTGAAAGTAGGGTCATCATCACTCAAATCTACACTATCACTTACATCAGTATAAACTGATGAAATATTAATAGATTTATTAGAACAGGGACATCTCTGAGGTCTCAACTGAATGTTGTCTGAGTCGCAATATTCACTGGCCATAACTGCTACTGTGTTGCGGTTTTCAGGTTCTTCTTTTGTTTTCGAAGATGAAGAATCATCTGAATCTGAGGAAGTTCCAGAAGAAGAAGAACTAGATGATGATGAACTTGTACTAGTTGAACTCGAGGATGATTGCGGTTGTGTTTTTTTTTTTGTTATGTCTTGTTGAACTCCAACGCATTCCAAGTTATTGTAATCATCGCTGTCATAGTCTGGCACAAGGCTTGTTGGCAATCTCTTTTCATTAGTGTCACAAGATTTATTTTCTATGTTTCTAGAACTAATCAACCGGGAATCAATTTTTTGGCTAAAATGCAGATGATCGTCTGCATTTTCTGATAATATTTCATCGCAGCTGCTAACTAACGATATTTTCAACTTTTTATGATCGTCAAATTGTACCTGTCCATCAGTAGATCGTAGATCGGTAAGGTTTTTATTTGGTGGGAGATTTTCTATGTTCTCACTTGGTATATTGTTTAGGTCTTCTACAGTAGCGTTATGAGTTTCAGCTATTGGTTTAACTTCATGACTTTGCAAAGATAACGAAGAACTCGATGATACTAATTCTAGTATTTTATGTGCCCTCCGAGACGTCATTCTGTATAAAAAAATTATATTCTAAATAAACACTTTAAATATTTTTAAACATTTTTTTTAAATAAAGCCGTTTTACTGAACTAGCCTAAAGGACAGTGAATACGATTATAGGTCCACCCTCGTGGCATCCCTATAATAAAATACAGGATAGAACAATAATTAAAACGACCTTGTTATTTTGATTGATCATCAAGAAGTAAGAATATTAAAGTCGTTATGCATTTGTATTTAACTTAAATTAATTAAAAATATTATTATCATTATAAAACTGATACGATACTGAAGGTCATTACGACAATGGTTATTATACAATTTAATTTGTAATACAGTTGAACCTGATTAATAATAAGTTATAATTTTACTTTGAAAGAGAAATAACCACAAACTAATAAGAGGAAATAACTTATAATGCAAAAATAATGTTGAGGACTTTTTTTAAATTAAACAGGAATAATTAAAATTGAATTTCATATTTAAAGCGTTATTTTATACTAAACTGGAGTAATTCTATTTGTTCTATAAATAAACTAAATATTTTAAGATGAAACTGAAATAACTAGTATTCATTCATACGATTTATTACCAGATTAAGAACTAAACTGTAATAACACGAAATAGGATCAGTGAAACTCAAACAAATTTTTGTAATAAAGTGAAATAAGTCCGAATAGTACCGCTATACGAATAAATAAAACCAGGAAAATTACTCACCTGTTAATAATGCATAGAATTATTTCGGCTTATTGCATTATTCAATTGACTGAAACGGGATCCTAGTCTCTAGACCACTGACACAAGACTGAATATCTCTGTTTATTGGTTTCAACCTGTCAGGACGCGTTATTCAGAAAGAGACGGACGACCTTCCATTTCGCTCAGATTTTGTTCAATTCGAACGGCTGTTTGAGCGCGCGTGTTCTTTGCGTTGAGTTTGCGTTTTATGATTAAATCTCAGAATAACCGATTTTTGAGTTATTTCTATGTTTGATTAAACGTGCGGTATGTTCATGTCAACGTTTTTTCGATTACGTTGTGTAATGGTACCTAGTTTTAACCATGCATTAAAATGATATCGTAAATAAAATGAAATTAACTTTCCCAATAGTTTGTACCTCTATATATAGATTGCTACATTCAATTTTAAATTCATTTTGTAAAAGTATTATACTTTTACATAGGTACATTAACAAAAAAATCATTAATTAAGTTATTTATAATTTCGAAAAGTCATTTTTTCATGACATGAAATTTATATATATATATATATATATATAAAAAACACTACTAGGTACACAGCTCAAATTTGTTTTACAAATATTTATTAACATTAAAAATAAACAATTTTATTTCAACCAGATAACATAATTTTAGGTTCCGTTGTCTTTTATAAATGAAAAACGTAAAAATAATACTATTACATTAAGTCAAATTTACAATAATAGTGTATCGATATACTCTGGACTTTACTTTATGAGCAAAATATAAACCAAATATAGTTTAAAATGTACAAATTTTATATAAAAACATGTAATAGAAAATTCAACCAGAATTATTGTAAATGTAAATTAATGTGTCTAAATATGAAAAAAATTTCGTAAATTCATAAACAAATGTGGTTAAACAATTACGCGCACAATACATACACACACACAACACATTTTTGCGTAATTGTGTAAATCGATCCCTATAGTTATTACATGTGTAACTCGTTAGTCGCATTTTGGGAAGCATTAATGCAAAATAACTACCTATCTCACTATTAGATTATCATACATTTATCACACTTTTTAATTTGCTCGGAAATTCCCTTATAATCCTGTATTTTTGTCGATTAATAGGCCCTTTTTCCATAATTCTTGTACGTACTTTATTTATTCCTAATATTTTGACCTTTAGCTAGCTCTCTTTCTCTCTATTCACTTATATGTTTATTTATTTATTAGATACCGGGAATCGGAGTATTAATTCATTTCATTTATATTTTATTTCGTGATTTTTATAACGCGGGTACTTTATAAATATGGGCCCCCCATTTATTTGGGTATTATATTACATTTTCGTAACATTCATTTCATTTTATTGGTACATAAACTTTTTTTTATATCAAGGTAAAATTTACCTTGGGTTGTGCGCACAACCTTGAGGTCTATGTTTTTTAAGTCACTTTAAAAGGACTCCAACAATTGTCACAGAGGAAAACTAAGTTCGCACCATGATCCAACGAAGGATGTGACCTCAATGCACCATTAATAAGGGTAACAAATTTAAGACTTCTCTGGTCCCTAACAGTACTAATATGAGTAAACTCAGTTACATCACTTGTACTGAAGGCGTTGTTCCCTAGTACCCGTTACTCCGATTTCATCGTCCAATCACGGAAACATACCCTGCTCGAGGACTATATGCTATACCAGTGATGAACGTTCCCGTATCTCTCCATCATTTATTTCTGATGGTCATCTTTTTTTGTTATCTTCGTAAATCTTTGTCTGTATCGGATACTTTTATATTCATTCAATCTCATTCCATCTCCTTTCAACTAAGCATATCGGTTTATTAACATAACCAGAGTTTGGGCCCTAACATTGGCTAAGATAATATCCAATAGCCTAATTCCTTCATTCCAATTACTAGCAAAATTTTGATATTAAAATTGCATAGTTTTTAATAATTTATCTAAACATCACATAAATCATTCTACATATACGACATATATTACAACATTTAAAATCCATACTTATTATATTCCTTTCTTTGCCGTAGTCTGTTTTCAACTTTCACACATCCATACCAAAACCTCAACATTCTTCAAGAGAAAAAAAAATTAACACAACCATAGTTGTTCATCAGTTGATCTAGCCGATTACAAATACTCGTAGTTAAGTTAATATTTTACTGTTCTTTTCAAATATATACACCATCGCAATATATTTGAACACAACCTTAGTGTCATCACATCTATCAATACTACCACTCTCATACAGTTTCCTTTCTATACTTAGACTTACGACTTTTTTTTCTATCCTTTCTTTTACTCTTTTGTGCAAACAGTTCTTTATTTCAGTTCCTAAACTAACATAGTAAGATACTATGTTATTTAGTAAGGGTTGGCAACCCTAACTATAAAACCCAACGAACATTACAAGCCTAATTTTGTTATACCTTAATTAATTATATGTGTGAAATGTTCTTAATAAATGTTTCTTCGCTTCTTTCAAAGTGAACTAGTGATCAACAAAATCAAACTACTGGTAATTCCACACTACTGTAAAAATATATATAATGATTAATATACAACATGATCGATAGTGTACCTGTTAGAAATCTTTTAATTGCTTTTAATACTTCAAAGGCACGAATAATTGTTTTTTCCCCACTTCATAAACTTTATGTTTTGACATCATTAATTCACATCGCATTTTTTTTGTCATATAAGTTGTTTAATATTTGTCTTAGCTTCAATAGTTCATAAGTCATTAGAGTTTAGAGCCATTACCTAAATTCAATAATCATATTATCTCAAAAAAAGTATCGAACTACTATACAGTTTTGTCTTACAAAATAATAGTTTATTTTATCAAGTCTTTTTTATCAATTGAATACTGGATTTTAATCGTAGATAAAGTGAATGAAAAAGTATAAAGTCAATATTTTGAAGGCAAGTCAGGAGACAACAGTAGTGTATATTAATGCATCATTCTGTATCAACTACGTGTAATATTCCGATGCAATTCCGTGCAAAAGATCACGTCAGCATTGTTTAGAATTTGATGCGCAATGTTACTACAAAGAAAACATGATATTACATTTCGATGAATTCTTAAACAATATCTGTACAAAGTATTGCAATTTTCATTATTAATAAAATATATCAGTTAATATTCTTTTGAGTTATTAAGTTAAGCTGCGTTTAAAATTTATATTATTCATCGATCAATTTATATTTTACAAAATTTATTCATAAGTTGTCTTTTATCTGATAGCAATAAAATAAAGTTCCTCTTTTTCATTCGTTATGTTAAGTATTTTAGAACCAAATAGATAATTAAAGTAATCACGCAAAATAATAAGGATATGAATATACAAACAGCACTTGCTTTCTATTGAGAGTGTTCATCTATAAATGAACAAAATGAGTTAAAAATAAAAAATGGTAAAAATATATGATTGGTGACTAAAGTTATTATATTTTTAATTTTATGAAATTAGAATTTTAAAAGATATAAATACTTAATTAAAATCACTCACCTTAAAATATAATCATATAATTTGCATTTTATACAGTAATTATTTTGTAGATACATCAAGCATATTTTTTACATTACAGTCTCTATTAAATTTTTTTTTATGTTTCTTGAAAATAAAATACTTCCTGTTTTCTGGTACGTAATATGGAGTACACGAAAAATTCAGTCCTCCTAAAAACTGGCCCCTCGATTAAATTCATGGTAATTTAAAATAAAAATATCTTCTTTTTGTTTTCCTTGGTTGTTACGAGTTTTTGAAAATTGTGTATATATCTTGATAATGTAAAATTTCCTTTGTGAACACCATTGCGTACTTCAATTTAGATCTTCTCAACCAATATTCTTCTTATCCGGAGTGAAAAAGTTATTTCTCTTATCCTCTCTTCTCCTTTTTGATGCATCTTTGCCTTTTGATTTTATACTTCTTATGTTTTAATTTTATTTTATAACTATTTATTCACAATCATATAAATTTTTGATGGCTCTACACGACTTTAATTAATTTTCTCAATCCGGGAATGTGTCATAACTTTTATTTAACGATTTTTTATGTATTTGTTATAATTTTGCTATCGGTGGCCAGCCGGTGCGCGCGGCGAGCGGAGTCGCGCGCGCACCGACTGGCAGGGTCGCCATGTAATGTTGGGAGGTTCGAGGAATAAATTAAACGTCTGGCGGTCGTGAATGTAGGTTTATTACTAACTCTAAATGTCTATTAGGCTATCATATATATAGCTACATGAGCATACACTA